CCAAGCTGCAGCAATAATTAAATATTTTTTTTTTAATTTTTTTTCATTAAAAAAATCGATTTTTAGGTTAGAACAGTTTTCAATCCAGAAAAGCATTTCCTCCTGCCTTTCTTCCCAAGCCTTCTTTTTTATATTCAGCTCTGATTTTGCCAACGGCTTTTCTTTTTTGTTTTTTTGTTTTTTTGTTTTTTTCCTCCTCCCCTCCCCTTCTGCACCCAACTTTGTCACTGCTCAGGATAGTCTGCTCGGTTATCGGGTCACACCAGCGTTCGTGGGATTTTCAGCAAAGAGATTCGGGTCACATCGGTTGACAACCCAAGTAAGCCTAGTGTTACAGCTTAGAGGTTTCAGTTTAAAAACAAAAAGCCAGGCAACACGAGCATCATGAAATTTCCCAATCCTCTGGCTGAAACCCAGTTTGACCCACTTCTTCCTCCCTAGAAATATAACTTGCTCCAACCTCGGCGGCTGCAAGCTTTTTAGCTTCTTTTAGGTGCCAGAATAGTAATTCACAAAATTTTAACATAGCGCGTCTTCTAATAGAAGCAGCAGTTAGCAGCTCCAACAAAGGTTGGGGCCTTACCATGGTAAATGTTCAATATACACGGAGCAGAAGGAGCTCTGGTGCCTTCGGATGCTCAGAGAAGGCACTCTCATGCCTGAGCAAATTTCTCAGCCAAGGAGATGAGGCAATTTGACCAAAGCCCCACCGGCGGCCTGTCGCTGTCAGGATCCAAACTCAGTGCCCGACTGCAAATTCTTACCTGGAAAACTACCCTGTTTCTTGCCTGGGTGCTTTCCTCCAGCGAGAGGATTTCAGATACCAGAGTCAGTGCCTGAAACTGTCAGACTCTAAGCACATCCGTAATCCCTGTACACTGGAATCTGACCCATTAAGCACACATTTTCTACACACAGGGACTGAAGATGAGTCAAGCATGGTTCCCAAATCATCCTATTATCCTCATGGCTGAATTATTTCAGAACTCCGTCTCATCTATTGAGCCTTTCTTTATGCTTTTTACTGCTCATTAATAGCCCACAGTGCTCTACGGAGGTGGGGACCAGAGACGAATAGAAGGTGGCCCAGTTCCCCAATTACTTATGCTGAATACCTCCCCTGTTGTGGGCTTGCCATGGGTGCGTAAACCCTTTGTCTCTAAACTGTAGGCACTCATCCATCCCTACCAAAGAAGCCAGAGGTTCACAAGGCTATTTAAGCATGTAACCGCTATCCCAAATTATCAGTACCATCCATCTGATTACAGCGACAGCATCCTGCGTGGCTCCCGCTAATCAGCCCGAAGGATAAACTGAGCTGGCAAGAGCAACAGAGCAGCAAGACACTGAAGTTGCTCCCTTGCTACATCACAGGATCCCACAAAGTCCTTTTTCTGCACAAATCAAACTCTGTCAAGAAAGGAGCCAGCATGGATTTGACAAAAGTATCTCTAGCGGCAAAGAAAGGAAGCAATCAGAGCAATTGCTTTGATGAGATATCCAACACGTTCTTCAAAACTAAGAAGGAGCTATGGGGGTATGGACTTAAATCATGGGCTATTCCTAAGACAACCCCTAGGCCAGATTTCCCAGCACATCCACTAGCAGTGAGCAAGAAGATAAATTACACAGAGAGACTAGCCTGATTAAGCCATCTGCATCACCTTCATCATTTCCAGCTATAAATATAAAACAAAAATACCCCCCAAACCACCGAGTTTGAAGATATGAGTTGACTAAACAAGGCCATTCACAGTGCAAAAGAGTTAAGTATGTATGGAAAAAAGATTCTTGAATCAGCTTTTGTGCATGAGACAGGTGACAACCCCAACTGCAATCACGGCCACAAAGTTTGCATTTAAACTGTTTCAAGGGAACTTAGACTTTGTTACTCTTCTTTTCCTCTCTCACTTTCTTCTCTCTCTTGTATAGGGAAATACAGCAAACTAGCAAACGTGAAATAAACCTTTCCATGCACTTTAAAAGATGTATTAATAAATAATTCAGTTTAGGGTTAACATAGACTAAGGAAAGATCCCATAAATAGTCCTGTGTTTAAGCCACGTGTTGCCCACGACTCCAGTAACAGATCTAGCTCCTGACAGCAGGGACACAGAGGAAGAGAAAGCAGCCCAGTCCCTTGATCACGTATGTCAATTAACTCCCCGATTATGGGCAAAAACATACTGGGTCTAAACTGCGTTCACATGTGTGGCCATACCAAAGTCCTCTCCAAAACTTGCAAGAAGAAAATGATTAAGCTTTGCGCATAATTTATGTTTTTTTTTTTTAAATAGCTCAGCAGGGTACATTTGAAAACTTTGACCTTAACGTACAGAAATAAAACATGGCACGGTGTCAAGATAACATATACTGTTTCCCACGATTACATGTGATTTCAGCTGTTGTATATTCCTGCCATGCTGCAATGCTTGCAGTACAGTGTATACAGTACCAAAAATGTATTTCAAAAACTCTTAGCAGCTTTATCAGCTCTTTCAAAACGCCTTCGTACAAATAAGAAACTAATTTGCACAAGTTCAGTTCATGCGTCTGTGTCACATGGTGTTAGCGGGTGTAAGTGCTATGAATAGGGTTGATGACTTCCTTTGGGACGACAGCAGCCCCTGCCCCTGCTCGCTGCGGTTCAAGCCTTCAGCAATACCCTACGCTAATGCATGCTCATCTACACTGAAGCCAGCTGCAGGCAGTTCAGAAAAATCTCTGAGAGAAACTACCCATCTACAAAGCCTCGCACCACTGAAAGACTGTGGGAAGCTTAAATCAGGGTCTAAAAAGTAAAACACAAGCAAATAACAACCAAAAACACCCAATCCAAGAGCAGCCATTTAAATTTGCTCTTGCAATTACTTTTTTAAACAGAGTAAAGCAGCAGAGACCAGAGATGTTTGCAGTGTTTTTCCTCTGGTCCGCTGTTATTTTTTATTTTATGCTGTTTATAAAAGCGAGTGTCGTGCTTGTGGGTTTTGGCATAGTTGACATCTATGGATATGACTCACCAGGGTCTGCTAAAACAAACATATAGCTGAACTATCTCCCAGTCCTGCTTTTCGAAAGCAAAGTCCCTTGCCACCAGGGCTCAGTGGCTTTGGGGTACCTGCTTTGCAGAGGGCAGATGCTCTCCAGCCCTTCCAGCAGCTCCAGGTTAAAAACAAAAAGAAAAACACAAAACCACCCAGGGAGGACAGGCCCGTTTCCTCTCCCTTCTCATGAGCATACTTGGAAAGTTGGCTATAAGGGTGTAAAGCCATTATCATCAAGCCTGGCTCTAAACGCGTAACACTGAGGACCTGCCCGGTGCCGCTGGGCAATTTGAGAGGCCAGAGGGAAGTTCCTCATCCGCCCGGGCTTACGGGATCCTAATTCAATGCAGAGCTACAGTTGCACGTTTTCATTTCACGTGGCAATCCCGCTGGTTAGCCTCCCTCTCTCCCATCCTCCTCCCGGCTAGCGCAGAAAATACCACCGCCAAACATCTGATTACAAAGCACCAGAATAAAATACCTGTTATTTTGCAGGTGAAATCCTAGCCAGTTTTTAATCACTGCATCTTACTTTCAGTGGAAAATATGAAAGAAAAAGCCTGGGTTTCCAATTTACCTATGACAATAAGAAGAACGACTGCACCATCAAAAATCAGTAAGCAGGACGTTCTGGAGGTGCATCAAGAGGGGTTGTACTGAAACACTTACAAATTCACCCTACAGGAGGCTGGTTGATCCAAATGACATACTAATTTCCTTGTCAGAGAACAACATGCAATATTGCTTTTCAAGGTACGGACCTGAACAAAGGGCCTTAGATTATTGCTAGGGACAAACTGCACGGCATGGACACCGGCCTACGTTAACGAGAAGGTAAAGCTACACGGCCTCAGGAGAGGCCACGCGTTTAATTATATTCTAGTGGTTCCAGGTAGCTTAAGGTCGCTGGCAAACAAGTAGCGTAGGGGGGAAAAAAAAGAAAATACAACAGCACCGAAGCTGCACAGACACGCAACAAAATTAAATTTGCAACAAACGGGCCAGCAAACAGGCAACGGTGCCGGCAGAAGACCGCAGCAGAGCGTGCCCAAAGGCCGGTGCCAGGCAGTAGGAGGCTTTGCAACCTGCAGAAGCAGTTTGCCCACGCTCCTCATGCCCGAAACACTGCCCCTCCTCCAAAAGCGACCCCCTCTCCGCGCCCGGCAGGACGGTGCCTGCTGCGGGCCCTCGCCTGACGGTCCACCGTGCTTCCTTAGGGGAGCTGGGCAGCGCCGCTACCTGTTGCGGAGGGTGTCCTGCCTTTTCCCTTTTGCCTCTGTTTTAGGGTCAGGCACTGCTCTGATTTGTGCTGGCTCCCACAGTAGAAAAGCAAAAAAGCAAGGGGAGAGGAGACGATGTTTTTTCCCCTCCTCGCTTTCCTCCTCTCCCCAGTCCCAGCAGAGAGCGAGCACGTGCTGGGCGTCCCTGGGAAGCCTGAGAAACTGGTATACGCAGCAACGAAGAAACAGCCAAGAGAAAAGAAAAATCAAAACAGCCCTTGGCATTGCAGGTGGCGACCTGTCCAGCAACGCCACCTCGACGCTGTCCCAGATACCCCCCAAGCAGCCGGGCGGAGGTGAGGGTGGAGGAGCAGAGGCGTTGCTTACAGCAGGGGAAACAGAGGGCTGACGCAGGCAACGTTTCATACGCGTGTGCGTCGCTACCTCCTCAGCGAACGTTTCCATTTGAATTTAAAAAAAAAGTCTCATACACATATCTAAGGAAAAGATGCTTCCAAAATCTGCTTTCCACGCTCCGGAGGGAGCGGCTGGCGCCTTCGCTTCGGCAGGCGGGTTGGGACGTTCCCTTGCCCCGGTCTGCAAATTCAGCTGAAGCACCATCTTAGCACAGGGGCTCGTGGGTTTTTTGTCAGCCTTTTGGGGCGGGGGGACCG